AATTCCTTGCAACTGAAGCTCAGAACTACACTGGTGTAGTCCAGGAGAGGTGTGTGTGCAGACACAATTTGTGGAGTTTTGTTTTGTTTTGTTTGCCACTTCCTTTCTGTATCTCTAACCAGCTTATCGGCTGTCTCTTCTTTTTTCTATTCAAAAATAAATCAAGGCTACAATGCATCTGGTGCTGTTCACATTCTAAAAAAAAAAAAATGAAAAAATAAACAGCTCAAGATAATCCTTGTGACAAAGAGGCATATTTTGAGATGGCAAATTGTTCCTTTTAACCTGAATGGTGGTGACATAACTATTGCCCTCACTGGTATAAGGATTTAGCAGACCAGGTTTATATTCAGACTTTGTCATTTGTCATGACATTCTATATTATTCACCTTGTGGAGCCTTATCTCCCTCATCTGTAAAGTGGGGATGATAATAGAACACATGCTATTGAGTTATTTTAGGATCCAAAGAGATAATATGTGTAAGATACCTACCACATGGTAGGAACTCAGTAAATAATAGTGTCTCCCTTACCGTCAGAGGTGAGATCGGTGGTGGGTAAGGAGTAAGATTAGTTAGCAATTACCTTATAACTGAGGGTGGTGATGGAGTACTCACTTCAAATTACTGATTCCGTGAACTGATCAAAATCATCCCCTTTGCCTATCTGCCTTTGGGTGAGTTTCTCAAAACAAACTAATTCTATCTTCAAATAATGTAAATCTATTAAGATGATGTTCTCCAATAATTTATTTACTAAAAGGTGTTACAGTGAAAGAAAAGAAATATTTAAAAAGCAGGGTATTTTGTGTTAGTAGGGATCAGTTTGTGCGTTCATTCAAGGGCTATTTACAAGTGCGCATTCTATGGAGAGCTGCATAGCCATACAGCACCTCTCTTCCTCCCTGACCCCTTGCCCAAAGGAGTAAGGGTTTAGATGATCGATAGCAATAGCAACTGTTGACCTCCCAGTCTGCTTAACACTGGAGAATCTGCTTCTTGGATCTGAAGAAATAGAGCAATAACATATGCAGAACTCATCTTTGTGAAGCACATTTTTAGGAGAGAGAATTAAAATCACAAAAGAACCATTTTAGAGCAAATTACAGTCTTATACATCCTAAATCATATATTTAAGTGGAGAAGAACTTAAAGGAATGGAGCAATCAAAGGGAGAATGACTAATGAGGGCATTTGAGATGATCACATTGGACTGTACAGATTACAAAGCACTTTGTCTAAATGTTAATTTATCTTTACAAAAATGATACAAGGTACATACTATGAGTCTCACTTTAAACATTCAGAAGCTGGGGCTCAGGGAAGTTAAAATACTTGCTCTAAGACTCAAAGTTAGGAAGTATAAGCTAAGGTTTGAGCCCAAGTCTGTGCAACTTCAAATTCTGTCACCTGGAAGCTCTGGAATGTTGGACACAATGGTGAAAATAGGGAAATGGGAAAAATAGGAGGCTGTGTCAGGCATAATGCCTAGGGAACCACCTAAAGTATAGTGACTTGGGAAGAGGTAGTCTCTGGTGATGCCAGTACCAATCCAGTTGTCAAGGATGGCTGAGATGCAGTTGGGCCTGAAGTAAAAGTGGCTGCCTACACCTTGACCTAAGATTTCCCATTTCAGACAGGGAGTGATAGCGGGTTTCTTCTATGAACCTATGGACTAGCTTTTGTTAAAGTAACCTTGAAAATTATTTTCTTAAACTTTGGTCACAGCCTGCAACCAAGAAGGGAAACCTGGTTTTCCTTTCTTCCATCACTTCATATTAAATCATCTCAGCTGTTAAGTTAAAGGAGAGACATTTAAGATTATATTTTACTGTCATCAGTTTTCCTGTCTGCCACAACTGTTCAAAACCCACCTTAGTTTATACTGCATTGATTTATGAAAGGACAAAATTCATTGGACATGTTTTTCATATCTATAGTTTCATTTATATAGTAAGTAGAAGTAGATTTTTTTGAGCCAAGAACAACCTTCCATTAAAGTAATTCAGTAGCATTGAGTTCTTTAGCAATGAACATCAAACCTTGGTAAAGATTTAAAGTAGAATAAGAAACATTAAGGGCCCAATTTAGGAATAACATTTTGAGGTTTTACATAATGATACAGAGGTACTTTTCTTCATAATATTAGAAAGTATTTTTTCCATGTAAATACATCTAGCAGAGTTTTCTTTGATCATTTTCTTTCCTTTTGAAAATTAACTGATACGATTTGAAAAATGAAAGTTCTGTTTATATTAACTGCACCTAACCAAAGGCAAGCAGTGTTTTATGGCTACAAACCCTCCATTATGCCTCCTATCCTGAGCCTGAATTCACTATTTACATGTACAGACTAGTTAGGTATGAAATATTCCTTAATGCTTTTTTTTTAATCAATGTATGTGCTTATGTGTAACTTTTACATTCTGATTATAAGTCAGAAATTTGCCATCTATACTGCTGTAGAGAGAAGTGTGAAATATACATTCATGGAAGAATTTGGAAAACTATTATATTCTTGATATCCAAGCCAGTGGACTTAAACCAAATCATAATCACCTCACGACGTTTTGTTGTCAAAGTCAGTGTCTTGTCCAGTATAACTCACTGCATCCTTTGATATAGCACTGTCCAATAGAACTTTTTGTCATAACAGAAATGCTGTTTAATATGCTGTAATACCATAGCCATTACTCACATGTGCCTACTGCACACTGGAAATGTGGCTGCTGTGACTGAAGGCATAAATTTTAAATTTTCTTTAATTTTGATTTTAATTGAGCCACATGTGGTAAATGGCTGCCATATTGGACAGTGCAGCAAAATATTCATTCACATGCTGTTTGTCTCACATATAAAGATATTTACTGTGGGGAGCCTGAGTGGCTCAGTTTGTTGAGTATCCCACTCTTGATTTCAGCTCAGTTCACGATCCCAGGGTTGTGGAATTGAGCCCTAAGTTGAGCTCTGTGCTGAGCATGGAGCCTGCTTGGGATTCTGCTGTCTGTCTGTCTGTCTCTCTCTCTCTCCCCCCTGACTCTCTCCTCTGACCCTCTTCCCTGCTCACGTGATCACTCTCTCAAAATTAAAAAAGATACTATTTAGAAGCCAATATAGTGGCCTTTAATTGCTTTTAAGGAACAGATGGAAGCCTCAGTTTGTTCTTGAAAGTAATTGCTTCAAGCCAAGCAGATCTGGGGTGGGGAATGTGCAAATATTTCAACTGAGTTCGCTACTCAGATTGTTTATTTCTTTATTCACTCAGAAAATACTCATGAAGCACCTAGTAAGTGCTCTGCATTGTGCTAGGTGCTAAGAATGCAAGAGGTTCAATGTATGTGCACTGCCTTCAAGAAATTGCCAAGTAGAAAAAGTGGACAGAAAGTTAGTAACAAACTTTCATACAGAAGACAGAGAATGAGTCAAAGATGACTGGAGGTTTTAGTCTTGAGTGACTGCTAGACGGTGGCTATTGTCACCAATAGAGGAGACACTGGAGGAGAAGAAGGAGGATGAGGAAGAGGAAAAGTAGTCTAATTGGACCACCTGGGGTTAAGGTGTCTAATGTTAGACATCCAGACTGCATGTCCTAAAGGCAGTTGGATATTTGGGTCTATATCTAAGGGAGATATCTTGAGATGCAGATGTCAGAGTTGCTCCTAGTTGAAGCCAAGAGACAAAATGCAGTGTGCAAGGAGATAATATAAATAAAGAGCAGAAAGTGAACAACCTTGAAGAAGTACCCACAGTTACAAAGAAAACATTCAATTAGAGTAAACTGGCTTATAAATTTGGTCAAAGACTGAAAAAAATTAAAAATATAGATGATAATCTTCTAGGAATTTTATTTTTAAATGATGTCAGGGCAAATTTGTAAGTAACTCTATGTGACTTGATGCTGAAAGTCAAGCCATTAAGAAATACATAGTAAGTATTTTATAGACCCATCATATGACTGAATTTACTCATTAAGTAGTTGTTTTATGCAATTTAAATCAATACTTCCTAAATGGTATATATTTTGATATCCAAAATATAATTTTTTCAAACTTTTCTTAGTTTTCTACCATTAAAAATAAATGATGTAAGTAAATTGATTTTTTTGCTGGGTCCTGTGAAATATGAGTGGAAAAATTTTAGCCATTGGATCAGTATTGACTTTTTGAAACCTAGCAGAAAAATCCAGTTATTCTGTTAATTTCTTGTCTTTTGAATAAATTGAGAGGGCTTCACAGGTACCATTTTGTCACCGCATTGCTTTTCTAAGGACATGCTTTTTATCATATCTGTTATCAGACTCCAGTTTCTCATTTTGTGGAGTGATGGGGCCTGTAAAAGAAAAAACTCTTGAAAACAAAATACATTTCTATAACAGATCCTCAGGAAACTTTTAAGGCTGAAAAAGTAATTTCAATATTAAAACCCAGATTCTCATTCACTCATATTCTGTCCTCCCCCTCCCCTTCTCTCTCACCGTCCACTCATTTGTTAAAAAATAAACTAGTACTTAGACTTCAGTGCCAGGAAGCTGCATTCTCACCTTGGGCATCGAAATTCTAATTTTGACAGAAATGAATTGTTAATGAGCCAAAGAATGCAGAGTTTCTCTAATTACAGGAAACAAAATTAAATTTGGCCGGAAGGCATTTCTTTTTGTAATTGCAGTTGGTTTAAAAATTAAGATTCACTCATACACGTTGGCGGGTTTTGTTTTGTTTTGTTTTGTTTTTTAGCTTGCTTTGCTCACCACTGTTAACCAGAGGCATTGAAACCTGAAACAAACTTCATTCTAATGAGGGTCCAGATGATTTATTTTATAGATACTGTGCAGAGCAACTTTCTCTGTAAGAATAACAGCACCTCAAAGATTGATGATGTTATATATGAAGAAAAACAGATATTTGTTCTGTTTTGAACCTTATTTTTACTGTGTAATAGAAAATTTAGATTTAAATGGAAAATAAGATGTGCATACCATTTCTCTTTTCATTTCTTTATAGAAGTGTTCAAGGACAAATAAGAATTTCTAGAATGGAATCCCTGTATGCTGAACCTGCTGCTCCTGCCTCAGATGTACGTACATAAGAGAGCCGTAGGGCAAATGGATGGATCCTTATCCTTGTAACATTGATTCTTTAGTTAATGTATGTTGCCAACATAAAAAAAAGACTTTAATTTTGAGAAGTATCCCATCTAGGCATAGCACTTGAGTGGTGTTCCACAGCTGCCATTTTGTAGCCATTTCTTATTGGGAGCCAAAAACCACTGTACTTGTGTTGGGGAGCCATAAGGTCTTGTCCCCTTCAGGGTCCTTCTAACCACACTAAGAATCAAATCAACATGAGACAGATTAATGGAAGAGAATCAAATTTATGAATGTACATACAGGGAACCCACACAGACATGGAAACTTCAAAGAAGTCAAGCAAAATGAGGTATATATGTCATTATATATGTCATCTGAACTAAGAAAAAGGGGGTGGGGATCTGGGACTTCAAAGGGAAGGAATGAAATCCTTAAGAAGAATGAAAAAGAGTAAATGTTTGGTAAACAAATATTTTCTGGGCCACTCAGAAACAATGGGACACACAGAGGACTTTGATCAAACAGGCATTGCTAGGTTCCTCCCTATACCCCATCCCTAGCTCATGGTATACTGTAGTTATCTATGGAGATAGCTCTTTCTGGAGCAGGGCCTGTATCTAATTTTTTTAAGCAGTTGTCGAGGAGGTAAAGAGTTATTCCTGAATCTGCTGGATTTTGATTGTTTTTTAACTCAAAATAGTCTTCATGTCAAGGTGGCCCATCTTGGGGCAGCCTGCCCTTGGCCCCCAGCACTTAGGATGGTCCTTGTAGTACCTTTAAAAAATAAGCTAAGCTCTATGCCATTGCTAAAGATCTTTTAGACTTGTGAGTACATTTCAAAAATAATGTGAGTAGGCTCATGAGACTGCATCATCCCATCATGGGCAGCATCCAGCTCCTAATTAGCCTAGATTGTCCCCATCTTTTTCCTAAGCCACTGAATGTGTCGTTCATTTATCCATTCACCAGATGTTAGTAGAGAGAATCTTAGGGATGCACATTTTTTTTTATATATGAAATTTATTGTCAAATTGGTTTCCATAAAACACCCAGTGCTCATCCCAAAAGGTGCCCTCCACAATACCCATCACCCACCCTCTCCTCCCTCCCACCCCCCATCAACCCTCAGTTTGCTCACAGTTCTCAACAGTCTCTTATACTTTGGCTCTCTCCCACTCTAACCTCTTTTTCTTTTTTTTTCCTTCCCCTCCCCCATGGGTTCCTGTTAAGTTTCTCAGGATCCACATAAGAGTGAAACCATATGGAATCTGTCTTTCTCTGTATGGCTTATTTCACTTAGCATCACACTCTCCAGTTCCATCCACGTTGCTACAAAAGGCCATATTTCATTTTTTCTCATTGCCACGTAGTATTCCATAGTGTATATAAACCACAATTTCTTTATCCATTCATCAGTTGATGGACATTTAGGCTCTTTCCATAATTTGGCTATTGTTGAGAGTGCTGCTATGAACATTGGGGTACAAGTGCCCCTATGCATCAGTACTCCTGTGTCCCTTGGATAAATTCCTAGCAGTGCTATTGCTGGGTCATAGGGTAGGTCTATTTTTAATTTTCTGAGGAACCTCCACACTGCTTTCCAGAGCGGCTGCACCAATTTGCATTCCCACCAACAGTGCAAGAGGGTTCCCGTTTCTCCACATCCTCTCCAGCATCTATAGTCTCCTGATTTGTTCATTTTGGCCACTCTGACTGGCGTGAGGTGATATCTGAGTGTGGTTTTGATTTGTATTTCCCTGATAAGGAGCGACGTTGAGCATCTTTTCATG